TCAAAGAGCGGTGGTGAACATGAGTGTCTTGCTCAGAACCGTGTGTGGCTCATGGCGAGGGTCTGCTGTCATTAGTTGGCTATGGATGGGGTGAGTTGGCATGAGTAAGTGGTCTTGAAGGAGAGTCAAAGGTCATCGCCAGCTGGAGTGACAAGAAGTGAGAGCCAGGGCCTGGGCCGGTGGCGGGCCTGTGTATCCCATCCTGGAACTGAAGCTCACAGTGGCAGTTCCACTTCAGGGTGGGGCTCTGGAGGCTCTGTCCCTGCAGGCGAGGCCTCCTTAAAGGTACAGTGACTCACACTGTGGTGGATGCCACAGAGGGCACAGAGGTGATGTTCACTCCCAAGGAGTGCTTCCTTGAAAACCCTTGTCACCTTTACCACCACCCCTCCCCCAGGACTAAGAACCTCTTATGACAAGACCCCAGGGCACCTTTCCTCTCCCACACGCATGTGCCACGGAGGTGATGACTTGCTCCCTGTGTGTCTCTCCAGACAGACTCAGATCATGAGGCCAGGGCCGGTGTCTGACTGCTCCCTGCTCTGTCCGCAGTAGCTGGCATGGTCCCTGGCACATTGTGTGAGTTCAGTAAATAGTCTACGGAAAGAAGGGAGGGAGGGAGCAAGGAAGGAAGGAAGGACGGACAGACATCAGGTTTGTAAGCAGACAAGAGAAGTCTAAGAACACGCAACATGTTTGGCTGAATTACACTTCCTGTGCCACAAATGTGCCCCTCTCTCTCCTCTCTCTTTGCCTCTGCCTCTAATTCAGTCCTTGCCACTTGCATTCCAAGTTAAAAAAAAAAAAAGAAGATATAGCTCTGTGCACTTGGGTTTCCCATGCAGACTCAGACATGCAGGAGGTGGGTGCACTTGGACCAGGATGCCCCACTGAAGGGCCCCAGCTGTGACCACAGGCGTTTGTAGACTCTGCAGGAGGTTGGCCCCCACCTGAAGGTGCCCCCTCAGACCTGCATGGGAGCATCTTTGTGCCCAGGGGCCTGGGGCCACCAGACCGAAGGGGAAACAGGGAAGCAGGCCAGGAGCAGCCAGAGCCCGAGCCTCGGGAAGCCTGGCGCGTAGCTGGCAGCCAGCCTGAGTCGCACAGCCAGCTCCGCAGACAGTGATTTATCTCAGAGGGATGTGTTTGCAGTCCAGCCGCACGCCCAGGGAAGCTTCCTGTCTCCGCTTCCCAAGCACACGCACACACGCCTCCCACACACCTCACCTGTGCTCACAGTCAGACTCACACATTCACACGCACACACACACTCGTGCACTTTCACAGCTGTACGCACAAACCACACTTGCCGTGTGTACACTAACGCGATCGAACACACACTTACAAACGCATGTCGTGCACACAGTATCATCCCGGACAAAGCGGGAGAAGAGAAAAAACGAGGCAGTGTCCTGGCCTCTCACCTCCACCCCCACATCTGCAGCCCCAGTTCCTGGCTGGGCTCTGAGCCTCTCCGCTTAGGCAGCCGCCGGTGCTGACTCCCCAGCTCGCTGCCTGTGAATTCCCCACACCAGCTGCTTCAGACTGTCCCTCTGCGTCCCTTCTCTGTCCCTCCCAGCAAGCCATATGCTCCCTTGCCTCCCTGTGCCCTCCAGCCCCCGTGCCCTCCCTTCCGCTGCTCCCCCCAGCCCTGTCCCAGCAGCAGATGGGCAGCCCAGCCCACGGGACCTGCCTGCTGGCTTTCTGTCTGTGTGGATTTGGGCAGGTCCCCCAGTCTGTTCTGATCTTGAATTTCCTCATCTGTGGAACACGATCCCTCCCGTCTGGCATGAGTAAGTCAACAAGATAAGGAGCTGGAGAGACTCGGTGGGCGTTCTGTGCCCACCACTTCTTCACTCTGCTCCGTCTTCCCCAAGCTAAGCCATCTGGACCTGGGTCCCTCTCCTTCAAACCATAAACCTTTCTGCTTGGGCTTCTGCCCACTGACCTGTAACCAGGCTCCCTAAAGAAAGCCTCCCTTGACGACACCCCTGTGCACTGTCCACCCCTCCTCTTCTTGTACAATGTTAACACGATACTTAACAATAGCACCCTCATCTCCTGCCTCCTCCTCTCCAGCACATCACAGTGAGCTTTCAATCTACTCCACCTCCGGTCTCTTAAAGGGCACTCACTCATGGCTTCCTCGGGGTCCTCAGTGCTCGGTTCAGCTGCGTCCCCTCAATGCCCCCACAGTCCTGGTGCCAGCGCTGCCCTATTAGGATGGGGTAAGAGTAGAGTGCGGGGTGGCCAGAGGCAGATGCCTGACTTCAAATCCCACCTCAGCCAGTCACCAGCTGTGCCACCTTGGGTCAGGCACGTTCCCTCTCAAAGCCTCAGTTTCTCATCTATGAAATGGGGCCTCAGGGAGCACCTGCCGTATTGGGTGGTGGTCGTGAGGATCACGTGAGGTAATGCTCGCTGGGTGTTTCCCGTGTCATGATCGCTCGGTAATCATCATCTCTTATTTTGACCCTTTGAACCTTCTCCTCCCTGGAACCTTGAACCTCCGGTCTCTCCTGGTCCTCCTAGTGACACCCCTCCCAGGTCCTCACACGTGGGTGCTCTCTAGCGCTCTGTCTCCAGGCTTCAGGGTGTGTGCTAGAAAACCTTGTCCCTTCCACAGCCGCCACCATCCTCTCCCCTCAGATGACGCCACCTCCCTGCCTCTGGCCTCGGTGCCTCTCCCAGGCCCCGGGTCAGGACTGCTGTGGGGCTTTTGTACCTCTCTGCCTGAACAGAGGCTCCCCCTGCCTGGGTGTAGAGGGCCAGCCTTGGCTTTTGAGCAGGGAGCCGCAGGATCAGGCTATTCTTACTGACAGTCTCTGGAGAAAACAGGGATTGGAAATGACAGCCCTGATGCGGAGACAGCGGCCGAGAGGGCAAGGGCAAGGGAATCGTTCCTCAGTAACCATTACTGAGCATGGCATCTTGGCAGCTCTTAATGGAAGTCCTGCGAGGTGAGCAGAATTGATCCCATCCCATTGCGGTGACGAGAGAATGGAGAAGCCGCCAACCCCAACCCTGTCCACGCCTGAAACAACATCTGCTTTAAACATACTTTCCTCCAGGCACTGTGCCAGCTACCATACCATTTCAATCGTTCCAGTGGCCCTAAGTAGGAATTATGCCCATTTTACAGATGTGTCAGTGATTTCAGTGACTTTCTCAAGGCCAATGTCAAACTGAATTCAGCTTAGGAAAAGAGTGGCCTTATTTGACAGCTAAGCTCCCTACCCTCCACCCTCCCTCTTCCCCTCTCTACCTGCCACGCTTACTATGTCTGCACACAGATAACTAAATTCTGTAGAGACCCAGTTTCTGGAAATAGAAAACAAGACAGACTCTTCCAGAAATGCCCTTGCTGGAAAGGCTGAGCCAAACCCCACAGAGCAGGTCTATGCAGGGGTGTCTTTTTCCCTTCATCCTTGGAAAGAAAACTAGACTTTTAGACTGTCTGTCTTTTAGGTATATTACCAGAACTCTTCACAAAAAAAGTAGGTGTGTATTTCATAATCTAGTAAATTTCACAGTTTACTGTGACCTTCCACAGATAACAAAAAATAATTTCAAGGAAATTTTCTTTTGCTTATGAATCAGATATCCCTTTGACTTTCTTTGAGGAAATAGACTTTAGTTCCATAAAAATAGTGTAAAAGATGCAGCAGTTGACTCAGCGAGCCTGAGTTTACTTCTGAGACGTCTGAGTAGTTTCCAAGATATGACGCTTCACCCAGCAATTTCAGATTTAGGTAAAATTCATAGCAAAATGGTTCGCAGAGAGAGCACTGTCACAGAAATGAGAAGCCCGTGGTTAAAGTCCTATCGTTCCCAAATGCATGACTCTTTGTAAAATGAGAATGCAATACTTATTTCTCATGCTTCCTAAGGATGCAGAAAAACACCCTAAATTTTTTCTTTAATTTTTTTTGACTAGTAATACATTCACATAGTTAGAATTTCAAGAAGTACAAAAGGATATATAGTGAAAACTCTTCCTCTCACTCTATTTCCCGTCCTCCAAATCCCATCCCTCTGCAAAGGGTGATCACTGTTACTAGCTACCCCTCTGAAGATATTTTATGTATATAGATAACAATACAATGGTATATTCTTTTTTGTCACTTTGTTTTTATGTCAGTAGTAGTGTACTAGACACAACTTCTGCACTTGCCTTTCTTCACTTAATGTGATTGTTGAAACTTTCAAGTGGTGCACAAATGCAGAGTTACTGTTATCATGTTAAAATATTATTTTAATAACGTACCACAGTAATTATGAAGATTAATTTTTCCTAGAATTGAGAAAGGAAAAAAGAGGAAAGGCTTTAATATAGTACAGCTTGGATGCTTTCATGAAAAAATAGTGTATAGAAACTATATGCTACATATTGCAATTTTTTTCTAAATTTGATTTCAATTCTCCCTGAGTCATAAATAACTAATAAGCAAATACAATTTACGGAGGGTTCCCACACCACTCTGCTGCTGGACAACCAAACTGTCTTGTGTTAACAGTGCCACCTAGAGGCAGAAGGGTATCTTGACTGTTTCTTCCCCAGCTGATTTATTCTTTGCCTAGCAACACCTCAGGAAGTCCACTTCCTACACACATACATAGTCATATCTCTTTTTTTTAAGATATCCTTGCTTCCTTTCTGTCTTTGAAAACTGTCGAACACCAGGAAAATCAATTCATTTCCTTTTTTCGACATTTTAATTTCCATCACAAATTCACTCCGGGTGTGGCCTAGGCTCTTGAGAGCAAAGCCGGTCTCACGTTTGGGTCCCTGAAAGGAAAATCATCCGCTTTCAAGTGGCCTCATACAGAATGTGAAGCAAGTGCGTGAAGGCCTTCAAAGTGACCAGAGCCCCATCAGAACCTCGAGCCCAGTGGTTTTCAAGCTGGAGTGCGCATCGGCCTTATCTAAGGGGGCTTGTTGAAATGCACAGTTGGCTCAAGATGATGTCTAAGGCTGTGCGTTTCTAACAAATTTGCAGGTTCGGCGGATGCAGCCTCCTCTTGCTGATGCTGGTCGTGCTGTCCAGACCCTCGCTTCCGCCCGGAAACGCTCAGCCCCTCGGCTGCTGGGATGTTGGTGGCTGATGGCTCTCAGGTGAGCTGCTCTCTGAGAATTGCTTTCAGCTGAAGAAAGCCCTCTCTCCCCAGGCCACACCATCTCCCCAGGGGATGTGCCTCTGAGCCCTATTCCCTGCAGAGGCAGAAAGGCCAGGTCCTTGCTTCAAGGCGGGACAGCAGCTCTGGAGATGCTCTGGAGATGGGCTGAGGCCTCTGCGGCAGCTGCACTGGGGTCCAGCTCCCCCTTCTGCTCAGTCTTACCTCTTCCCTCCTGGCCGCTGCTCCTGCGGGCACTGCCCAGTGAAGTCCTGCGAACAAATCCCTGTCCATCGTCTGTTTCCTGGAGACCCTAACCTAACACACCTTCTCAAAACTAAAAGTCTTAGCCTTGAAATACAGAGAAAACTATGTAAGCAACAATGTGGAAGTTGTTTTGTAGATTTTGTCCTGCTGTGTTTATGCAAAGGACCATCATAATTATCACATGTGTCATTCTTTAAAATCTCATCTGACGCTATTTTTTATTACACATGGAGAGTGTTGCAGCTAATTGGCAATGAATTTAATTCACTGAGCATTCCAACCCCACGCCAATAATATGCTTCCTACGGTAGGCAACATTTCTTTCAAACACAGTAACATGTATGATATTTCACTTTTAATACAAATATTAAGAAATGCTCCATTCGTTCTCTCCACAAATATTCATCAGAGGCCCCTGGGCTTGGCACTGTTCGGGTGCTGAAGATGAGGCACTGATAGAGATTCCATTCAAGCATTAAAAATAAATAATTATGTCTGCATGATGATAAGTTCTACAAATGAACTAAAGCAAGGGATCAGTGTAGGTAATCACTTGAAGGAATTCAGATGCTCCTTGATCCTGTACAAAACACAAACCCCGAGACTGGATTCGGACTGGACCCCCAGCGCTGGGCTAGGCTGGCAAACGCTACATTGTTCTACGTGGGTCAATTGACAGCTTAGCTTTATAGCTCTACAGATGTGTACTGCATGTCTACCATACGTCAGTCTTCCTGTTGAAAAGGCTTAATCTTCCAAGTGACACAGCAACAATATCGTAGAAGTGTGGGTGCCCTTGGCCTGGTGGGTAGAAGAAGGGAGTCAGAGAGCGTGTGCGTGCGAGGTCAGTGATTCTCACGCTTAAGCATCCATTACCAGCACCTGGAGGGCTGGTCAAATCACAGATTCCGGGGCCTCCATCCTTCCCCCACCTCTGAGATTTTTCTGATGCAGTAGATCTGGGGTGAGGGCCTGAGAACTTGCATGTCTAACATGCTCCTATGCTAATTAGCACTATGTTAGTTTTTATTTAAGAAAAAAACCCGCTGCCCTTTGCTACCAGACTCCTCCCTCCTTAGGTTGTCCTCAGTGAGGATTCTGGTTTCCCACCGCACTGATACCACGCGGGGCCTATGATTTGACTTGGCAATGAAATGTACACGCACAGACTGTGGGTCACTTTGGAGCAGAAGCGCTAAGAGCCGTTATGCACTCCTGCCATCTTTTTCCCCCTCTTCAGGAGGTAGGCCTGTGCCAGACATGAGGCTGCTCATTCAGCCCGGGTCCTGTGATGAAGACTTGAAATCCAGGTGCACTGATTCATGATGAACGTGCCACATGGGAAATAAACAAACCTCTGTTGTTACAGGCAACTGAGGTGTGGGGCTTGCTCGCTAGCACGGCATGTCATAGTCCAATCTGACTGAAAAAGAAGTCTTCCTAGAGAAAATGACACTGAAGAGTCCTAAATATGCATTGTCTGGGCAGAGAAGAGGCAGAGGCTTCAGACAGCATGCTCTGTGGGGTATCTAGTGCATAAAATACTTTAGCATAGAAAGTGGTGGGAGAGGTAGGCAGGAGCCAAACCATTGAATCTTATGTGTCAAATTTCATCCTGTAGAGACCAGATTAAAAAAAAACCCTCAAATGGAAGATGTCCAAGAAAGAGCCTTACATACCATATCCTATCTCCAAACTCTTCTTTCTCAAGTCTTCTCCAATAAATTAAACAGTACCATCACTTACCTTGTTCCTCAAGCCAAAAATCTGGAGTCACCCTGATCAACTCGTGTCTTTCTCTCACTGCCTGCATCTGTAAGTCCAGTTGGCTGCCCCTGCAAATACAAGTTCAGTCCTTCCCACCTCCACTGCCTCACCTGGCCCAGCTGCCCGCCCTCGCCCCCCCAGAATCACTGCATCTACCTCCTGACCAGTCTCCCTGTTCCCAGCCTTCCTTCCCTTTAGTCCACTCTCCACATTGCAGCCAGAGCGAGCTCTTAAAAATATCAGTCAGATTATGGATTACATCATCTCCCTGCTTGCAACCTTCCTAATAAACCTAACCTCCTTACTGTGGCCAGTAAGGCCCTTCATAATCTAGCCGCTGCCTACTTCACTGATTTCCTCTTGTATCGGGTTCCCTAGTCTAGTTCACTAAGTTCAAGGTATCCTGGCCTTCCTAGTTTTCATTCCCAGCCCAGGACCTTTGCACTGCAAATTCCCTCTGCCAGAAATGCTCATCCTCAGTTATCCACACACCACATCCTCCAGGAAGTCTTCCCTGACTACCCTAACTCAAGCAGTGTTTCTGCTCCTCTCCAAGTTGAAAATCTTTCTTCATTACGCCTATTGCTGTTGGAAATTATTTTCTTTATCTGCTTACTTGATTGCTATCTGCACGCTCATTAGAATCCAAGTTCCAAGATGTCAGATCTAAGACTTTTGTGCATTCATTTGTTCATTTGTTCACTCAGCAAACATTTATTAAGCATGTAGTACATACAAGACATTGTTGCTTCTGGGGACAATATTTCAGTCACAAGCCGTTACCTTGCACATTCAAGTCGCTTAATAAATACCAGTTGGCTGAATAAATAGATGAATAAACCAAAGGGCAGAAAAAAGACTGGCTCGGAAAGCAGTATATAGGTCACATATACATTGCTAATGAGAAAAATGAACCTTAATAATAAAGCAACAAAATGTTAATTTAGACTGGCTGAGCCATCCAGATCAAACAGCATAGGTCCCAGAGAAAATGAACGAGGAAAGGCCCCTTCATTGGGACTTCTGAAATTATACAAGAATCATTAAAATGTAGAACATGACTGTGAGTAACCAGCATGAAAACACTCAGTGACTTATTAGGAAGAATTTTAAGTGCTTTCCTTGACAAATGAAAGGTAACTGTATTTGTAATTAACCACACTCACACTGATGATTTATAACAATAATTTTATGTCCAGGATTTAATGAATCTTTCAGGAATTTCAAAACCTGCTACAAGTTGAAGTCAATATTGAAACAGCAAAGAGTGTTTGCATGGGTTGAAATGCAGTACCTGTTTCCAGCCAGAAACTCCAGTGTTTTCCCGTTTTCAGATACTGGTATATTTTTCACGTGACATAGTAGCACTTCTGTATAGAGTCATGTGTACCTTCACCCCCTTCTTTCCATCACAAGGACTAGTCAAGATATAAACCAAATGCAGGTAGGGCAGTGTCTCAATAATTCAGGCTCACCGTGGAGGAAGCCAGTGGGAGCTACTGCAAAGCCTGAATTCTAGAGCACTGGGAAGTGGCGTATGCTTTCTAAAAAGGCACAGTCAATAATGTAAAGCAAGTTAACCAAATACTGACTTTCGCAAGTACTTGGGGGAGCAATCTAAATTAATGATGGATTTAAATGCCTACAATAGCATATTGCAATTGATTTCTCCTCTTAGGGAGGCTAAACATTTTTCCCTTAAAGATTACTTATATTATTTTCTTAATTCACTTTTTCAGAGCACTTAGAGCTTTGAAATCAGGGTCCAGTCCATCTATATGCAAACTTTAGATTTGTGGGTTTGAATTAATATTTTATTGTAAAACTAAAAAAACATTCTTATACCCAGCATTGTAATAGTTACCCCTAACATTCTCCAAGATCTCATCAGAGACTTCCTTCTGTGTTTCAGTGTCAAGATATTAATTGCTTTTTCCAATGTGCTGTGACTCATGTTTAATCACTTTTTTTTAATGACTCAGGCGGGGAGCTCAGTGACATTTGTGAATGGCAGAATGAGATAAAAGAAGCTGGATGAATATCTCTCTTCAGTATCCTCCATGATATGATTTCACAAGTGAGAAATGTGCTGAGGCTTCTGCCCAAGTCAGCTACTATTCATTTACTGCATAGGGAGCAATGCCTAATGTCTCTGGGATTTTGTGCTTATGTGAGAACAGATGAACAGACAATTGGAGCAGAATAAAAGTCCAGAAAACCATATATACTTTCAATGGACTTAGGTCAGAGAGAGAAAGATAGTCTTTCTAATAAATGGTGTTGATCAATGGACATACAAAAAAGTACTTATCTTAACCCCCTACCTCATACCAGGTTTACATAACAATTCTAAAAGGAGTACAGATCTAACCATGAAAAGTAAACAATAAAGCTTCTTAAAGAAAACATACAGCATCGTCATAATTTTTGAGTCTGTAGAGATTTCTCAAACAGGACTCAAATTGCCAATCATAATGAGGGAAATGATACATTTCTATATTAAAATAAAGAAATGCCATTGATCAAAAAGGCACCATTAAGAGAGTAGGAAATGCAGCTCATAGGATGGAAAATCACATTTGTAAAGTATGTCTGACAAATGACTCATTTCCAGAATTTGTCCTCAAATCAATAAGAAAAGGACAGAAACCTAGTAGAAACTGGCAAAAATGTGGACAGGCACTCCCGGAAGTAGTATATCCAATGACCAATAAACCTACAAAAAAGCAGCAAGTCTTAGTCACCAGAAAAATGCCAATTAAATACACAATGAGACACCACCATGATACATGGAGCAGAATGGCTCAAATGAAAGACAGGCGATACCAGTTGTTGAGCAGGATGTAGAGCAACTGGAACTCCCATAAATACTGCTGATGGGAGCGTAAGTTGGTCGAATCATGTTAGAAGACTTTGGTAAGATCTCCCAAAGCAGAGCATAAGCACACCACATGACTCAGCAGTTTTACTCCCAGGCACACTCATTCCAGAACACACACGTGTATTCACCAAAGACACATACGCGCATATTCACAGCCCCAAACTGGAAGCTACCCAAATGTGCATCATTGGCTGAATGAGTAAATAAGGTGTGCTATAATCACAACCAGTTAGTGCAATGAGAGTGAGAAAACTATAACCACGCACAACAGCATGGATGTTTTTCACATCATGTCGAGTGATACACAAGAGTACGCACCGCATGGACGTATTTACCTAAAGCTTAAAAACGAGCAAAGCTAACACGTGCCCTTAAAAGTCAGGATAGCCATTTTTCTTGGCAAGGTTTTAACTGGAAGCAGGCATGAGGGAGCTCGAATGTTCTGCATTTCGATCTGGGTGCTGATTACATGGATGTGTTCAACTTGTGAAAAAGCCTCAAGCTGGACACGTAGGATTTGTGTGTGAAACTGACCACTTGTAATCTATGCATAGAATACAGTCTCACTGTATGATTCTTTATAATTTTTCAGTTTATTTTTGATTATATTTGGAGAGGCAGATTTCATATGAGAGCTTCAAACCAACCATTATACATTAACCAAATTTTACACAAGCCATTTGAAAAAAGGTCTAAAAATGTGCTTAGTTACCGGTATTATATAACATTGATCAAGCACCAGGAGTGTGCTGAGAGCTTTACGGAACGAACATAGAAAAGACAAGTCCCTGCCTTCAAGGATACCCCTTCCTTCAGAGTCTCACGCGTAAAACTTCACCTTATATTTCACACCCTTTTATTCATAAGGCATAAATAAGGAAACTTGTTGCATTTCTCATTGCTACTTAATAAATATCTAATACCCTCTTCCCCCATTATACCAACGATTACTAGTACATTTGCCTTTAAATACAAATTTCCGTAGCACGCTATACAGTGTATACTGATTTGGTATTCACACAATTGACCACAATATTCTTGCAGGTTAGTTATAATATGAAGCATGTTGAATTTCAACATTCACAAACTTTTATACCACTTGGCAGAATCACATACTATTGGCAGAGCTTTTTCTGTTAAGGAACATGAGGTGCCGTTGCTCTTATATTGATACGTTGTGAACAAAAACAGCACTGCCTTGATTCCAATAAGGGTATCAGAACTTACGGCACATTCAGAACTGTGGATTTCAGCACATCTATTAAGCTAGCCTTGCAGATGTCAATCACATAGCAGCATGCCCTAAAATACTAACAATTTATGATCAACTAGTGATGGGTGATGCAAGCGTGATTTGCTTTACGGTATTTGCAGTTTAAGGAAGAGGGCACTGGTGTAAAATACCTGGAAACCGTGAGCTGGGAAATTTTTTTGCTTTTCTGCAGGGCTGTGTTCAAAGCAAATTCAGACTCAAAAAAGAGGATGAAATGATTCCGACTTTGATTCTTGGCTAAAAAGTCCTAATTTCGAAATAATCCCTTAATTACATCTGATTGTTCATTTTTTTAATGCAAGAGAGATGACGTGAATTTTGATAGTGTAGTACTTTTAGGTTTAGGCACAAGAAATTATACTTCATGTGAAAATGCCAGAGAGGGTGGTAGCAATGGCCCCCAGTATGGAAGCTAAGCCAGTCCCTGTGTCACCTGCAGGGAGCTCACAGCAGCAGGAGATGAGAGGCAAATTTTGGAGGGATGGGTGGATGCTTCCTTCCAAGCCAGACTCTGGTCTTGCCCCATTCTGAAAACAGGGATGGAGGAGCTAGCGTGAGTCTGGGGTCCGGGGAAAGAAGGTGTAACAAGCTTGGGATCAATGGAGAAAAAGGATCCATCTGTGAACTTCACCTTATCTAGATCCCAAGACCCCAGCATCCATCAGCTTCAAGCCATAACAAAGGTCTATGACTTGACACCAGACACAGCTCCCGGGCAAAGGATAACTTACCCTTTTCAGAGGAAACCACCTTGCCTTTGGGCCATCACTGTGTGGTCTCCGAGGGGAATTACTGGGTCTGGATGTTTCCATTATGTGGCAATGATGCTGAGTTGAATTTTAAAGCTACACTGGACTTAGAGCAAGACTAAATTTCTTTGACTACTTCCCCGGATATGAAAAGGGTAGAAGAAACTTCTACGGTCTCCTCACTTCTCGGCAGGGGGTGGGGCTTATAGTCCTACCCTCCCTAGGTGGCGAGGCACACGGCCCAGACAGGGCCCATCAGGGATAGATTCACCCAAGGGCAGTGGCAATAGTAGTTTGGTCCATCCACCATGATCCTTCCTGGCCAATGAAGGAGTCCGATTGGGATTTGACGAATTTTTCTTATCCTGGGTAACTGTATCGCTACTTCTCTGCAAATCTTAGAGCAAGAGGTTGGAAACTACCCATCTCTGCTGCTCTCCTGGCTTAATCTGAGACAAAGGAGAGACTAGTGGGACCAGGATGTGTTATAGGGCCACATTGGTTGGGAGGAGAGCTGGGACGGCCACTCCCAAATCCCGTGGGTATTAATTGAGAACCCACTTTGGGGTGAGATAAACAACCTTATTTAATGTGCCCAACCCAAAACAGAGCACCAAAAGACTAAAATGCTAACAATAGACAGTAATATATATATATTTTTTTTTCATTTTCAATTATAAATCCTCAGTTTTCCATACTAAGGCTTAAGTTTCAGTCACCTCGTTGAAAATCCGTACCTAAACAGAAGAATAGAAATAGATAACAGGAAGACGTCTAAAAAATGCAGGTTCACCACAGATGAAAACCTCCATCCCTTACTTGTTAACACCATGAAATGTTCTGACTACCCTTCGTGGTGAACAACAGAATTAGACACAGCAAGCGAAGCATTATTTGGAAGTTTTTAGAATGAACTAAATAGGATGAACTCCTATTGCTTTAAAATCTGAGATGCCTCCCAAACCTCTCTCTCGGGAATGTATTACATCATCCAGAGTGATTATTCCTACTACCAACATTTATTTATATCCCACCTTGTTCTCAGAAGAATTAAGGTAGCTAGATTCTGGCAATCATTTTACTTTAACCTGTAACAAGACATCTGAATCAATGCTGAAAAGGATTCTTTCTGTCCAGTGACATCAAAGCACCATTCAACAGGCAGAAACTGAGATCAAATTCAAATGAAATTACAATGGCTGCCTTACACTGGAGAAATCTTGCTCTCGAGTTATTTAACAGAGAAGACAATAGACCAAAATTAGGCATTTAGATCAACATGTACATAGATAGATAAACGGTTAAATAGATAATATTTTTTGCACTGCTGACAAGTATTCAAAACTCTGGAGTAGGTGTCGGAGTAGCTGAGAACACCTCAGTGCCTTTCTCATATTATGGGCAAGCTTTCAAAACCTTTTTTAAAGCCATTGGAAAGGGCTGATCGTAGTGGTGCGCGGAAACCATGGTTTAGAGTTAGAATGCCAAAGTTTAGCCATCGTCTCTACTGTTCAAGGCACAAGGACAAGTTCCGAATTCTCCAGCTCCTGTGCGAGAAGCAGGGCACCTGGTAGCGCCGGGAGCTCGAAGCTTAAGGAGCGGAGCCACACACCAGAGCAAGACGGGAGACCCTTTGGGACGCCACGATCTTCTCATGTGATCGTACATCGTTAGCAAGCAGCTCTCCCACACGTCGGGTGGGCAGGGGAAGGTCTCCGGACCTGAATCCCTTGGCCTGTGAAGCAGAGAGAGCACTCTTTGTGCCAGGCCCGATTTGGCCGTTCAGGCCTTCCTACCCTGGGCACAAGGGAAAAGGTGCAGAATGTTCCCATGACGATCCATCCGCTGTGAAGAGCGTAATGATGACAGAAGGGCACGAATGACAAGTCGGTAGCCCTTGAGAAAAGTCAGCAGAGAAGTAACACCCTTTCTGAATACATACCCTGTTACCTCGCCTGCAGCGGTCTAAGAACGTGAAGGAAAATAAAACCTGTCCTTTTTTCTTCTCATCTTGCTGTCTCCCTTAGCTCCCTGACACGAGGCATGGATTAAATATCTCCTCTATAACACATTCCCTGCCATGAAATTTCATCCAAATGGAAAGAATCCAAACCAATTAATCGTCCTTTTTTTTTTTTGCTTGGAATTCAATTGGTACCTACTGGTAGTCCATTACATTCTTTTGGTAGCAAAAGATATTGCACTTCTTCAAAGTCATCCGTGTGTCACTAAGTCAAAGCTAATAGGTAGGTAGCTCTCTATCTAGAATGCATGCTTTCTGAAGACCGTCAGCAGCATCTGCAGGAAAGCCTCCATGATTGCATCTCCGTTTCAACAAACTGTGGCCACACCGCCACGTGATTTTCAACTATAGAGGGAGACGTCGGTAGTCAGAAGCCATATGCAACAGCGCGTCGGGGGCTCATGATTTCATGGTGCAGATGGGGACGACAATGACGAGGATGACCGTGCACGCGGCCGCGGCGATCAGAGCAGCGATCTTGCAGACCTTGGCGCGTCTGAACTCGGCTTCTTTACGTTTCAGTAATGAGTCGTAGCCTGGAGTATAAATGTCTTCCATCCAATATTCTAAGTTGTTTGGGTTTAAAGATTCTTGTGTCTAAAAGTGAAGAGATGTTAGAAATACGGTGAATACTTGCAACAGGTTAAAGACGTTCTGATAATCATCACTCCTGAAGCATCTAAGAGTTGTCTGCAGCTGGAGGTGACCGAGGCTCCCCACACGGCCCACCAGCCCCTCCTGCCACGGACCACCAAGGACTCGGGCTCCCACACACCACAGATCGCACCTGCCCCTCCCTGACTACAAAGGTCACAATGGTTTTGACACAGGAAAACCCACAGGTCTTCTAGGAGCAAGAAAAACAGAGCCAAGACAAACGAGATTCTAAACTTCAAGGGCATACAACCAAGAACAGGCTGGCCCCACTATAGGGGAAGCAGGGCAAGTCATTGAAAAATACTCTCCACTAACAGTCCCTAAGAGCAGAGCTGTTTGCAGCAAGGCTATCACATCACTCTGATTCAGTTCCCAGTTCCTTGGAAAAGCCTCTACTGAAAAGTCAAAGGCACCTCCCAGATAAGCCGTTCAAAAAAAAAAAAAAACCAGAAAATATTTCCATTTCAAACATTTCTGGGCAGGTCAGGTCACTGCTCAAAGGCAGGGACCACAGACCCGTAGCCAACTATTCCTGTGCCAGGTGCCACATCCCCACGGGAGAGCCCTCACTGGTATTTGTCTCCTGGTCTCCCGTGAGATTAATGAACTGTCTGCAGAAGAAATATCCCATTTAACCTGTACTGCCCATGAATCCCATTCCCCGTGGATGGTTATAATCTGTTTCCATAAAGAAAGGCCGTGTTCTCATTTTATGGCAAACATTTAATAATGTGTCACATGAAAGCAACAACACATTGCAACTCCAAGTGGGGTCACCTAAATCTCTGAAACACAAGCAAAACAGCTCTTCTGAAGATTTTCTTACATTGTTTAATGCACATAAAGGTGGACATGTTCCAAACTCACTCACACACACACACACACACAGGATTACAAAACAAATGCTTCCAAAACTAAAAATAAAAAAAAAACAACCTCATTTGTACCACGTTATTAGAGTGTCAATGATTCTAACCCACAGTCCTCATTCTCCACCTGTTCTTCTAGTCCCATCCTCTGTTCTTTCCCACCTTGCTCTGCGCCCCCAGGAGACTGGCCCATGCGGATGCTTCCCAGGGGGGCTCAGCCTGTGGGGTATCAGTCCCCCGGCACCCTCCCTGCTGGGCCACAGTTCCCTCAGGCACCTGTTCTCAGAGCTGGGGGTCTCGGTGGGTTTCAGAAACAGCTCCCTCCCCTTGGCCTTCAGATCCAAGCAAGGGCAGCAACAGCCTCTCACTAGTGCTGGTCCCGGGGTGCTTCCCGGGCGCTAACC